CGAAATGCGCGTGAAAAATTTAACTTCAGACATTCATCATGCAGAAACGTTATCGAACGTGCGTTCGGTGTGTGGAAGAATCGTTGGAAAATACTCGATCGGATGCCGAGTTACAATTTCAAAGTGCAGACAGCTATTGTCATAGCTACAATGGGTATTCACAACTTCCTTCGACGGGCAGGAGTAGTCGACGAGGCCTTCGTAAGAGTGGAGATTGACCCCGATATGGCGGAGGTAGACCTCCCAGACGAACAAGAAGAAGTCGCTGCAGAAATTAATGCTCCGGAAATGCAACGCAACGAGTGGGATTGTTTCCGTGATTATTTGGCGCAGCGGTGAAAGAAAACGTGTTGCTAGGACGACTGCGTTTTTCGCAAACAATAATTGTTGCCTGTAGTGTATGCAATGTATTTGAGAATGGAAAATGGAAAAAAAAATTAACGAGTTTCATAAAAGTTTACAGCGCACGTCACTGTCTTTCATCTTTTATTTTATGTTGCATATAGGTTTGTAGGAAACAAATATTGCACATCACGTGAAACTGACAATTGCAAACATTGCAAACAAAAAAGCTGCAACAATTGCGGGATGGTCAAACACGCATAAAATTATCGGCTTTTTTCACGTCATTAGTGGGTTTTGAAAGTCAAAAATGTTGGGCCACAATTCTTTTCCTTTTCTCAATTTATTCACACGGTTTTGTTCATTCAATAGTCAACAAATGTAGGCAAGGACAAATTTGCCAATTTGGTGAATCTTTTTCTGACACATGAGTGAAGCATTGTCCAATTTTTTCAAAGGTAACTGTGAGCATTCTGTTTTCAACGGTAGAAAAAATGCTAGAAGGCTTAGCCAGACACGCTCTTAGACATTTAGTTTCATTTTTTTGCTACTCCAAATCAATTCCTAATAATTGATTTTTAATTCTCTCTCTAAATTCCGTCAAAATCATTTCCATATTATTTTGAGTTTCGTGTTCGATATCTTCCATTCAAGAAGACTACAGTCAAGTATTTGTTCGCTCGACAAAATTAATAGTGTGCTATATTAATTTTGGATTTTAGGAATAGAAAATCAAATTGACTTGTTATTCAACTCAAGAATTATAATTCTGAAGTCTTAATATTAAGCCCCTTTTGGGAGTGTTTTGGAAAATAAAGTAAAAAACATGTTTTATTGTAGTTGTCTTGAAAAATATCTTTAGAAGAATGGGTTTATAGGCCTAAAAACTTGGAGCCAAATTTTTATTTTACTTTCTTACTAGAGGCCACTGAAGGAAAGATACAGTCTTTAAATATTTTTTGCCCATCCTAAAATATATTTTAATACTTCATTTCAACAATTTCGTTATGACATCTTAGTTGCGGGGGTGGGGAAAATGAAAAATAAGGAATATATTTATTAAGCAGCTTCACATCATTATTTGTCTTATTCTCATTATTCTCCCAAAACCAATTTTGGGAATGACACAAACATCGGTAACCTCTTCATGTGTTAATCTCTTCATGTATGTATCCAAATGCATCTCTTGCACTTGGAAAAAAGGTGGCTGCACCTTTTCTAAGTGTGGAGGTTCTCATCCCACCTGAATTGGATGAGGAATCAAACCCCATGTTATTCATATCATCTTGAATTCGCTCTTCTGTTGGGAAATCAACTAAGCACTCTGCGAAATTTTTTGGGTTGTTGGAACAGTAGTCATAAACCATGTAATTCTTTCTAACATCTCGATATCTTCTTTGTTGTTCAGGACTGAGGTTCCGATCTTTATCTGCATTCCAATAATGGCATGCTTCAGGATTAGGAGTGTCGTAGTTGCATCCATCAATTGAAAATCCTCGATAATGAGCGACGAAGGGCCCTTGACTCCAGTCAACCGGTCCTTGCCATTCAGTGCTATTCCATATGCTTGCTTCTATGTGCATGGAGTTTGATGGATAACTCACTCCTATATTGGTGTTGTTTTTGAACACTCTGATAGGCGTCCCGTCTATAAAGAACCTATATACACAAAATCAACAAAAATATACGAGTTACATGTTAACAACTAAATGTCTAATCATGTAAATGTCGGGAGTAATTTAATATGAAAAAAAAAGGAAAGAGAATAAAGTACTCAATTTAGGTTAATATGTTAGGTTTGAAGGTTAAATTTATATAAAAAATAATCCTCCCTCTTATGATTTAAACTTTTAAATAATGAGTGGATTCAATGAAACGTAAGTAATTCATCATGTACGTACACTATGTGGTACTGGTTCCAAAAAAGTTCATATTTGTGAAAATCTGCTGTAGGATCAAACCAAAGACGAAACTGTTGCTCCCTATGTCCGTTATCATTTGCAAACACATTGGTATTCAATGTGTAAGCCATTGGATTATGGCCTCCCAAGAACTCAAAATCAAACTCATCGTGGTTTGTTGCTTGTCCACCTACTGGGGTCGAAATTAACTACGAAATTATCAAATTAATCAGCTCAAAACCAAAACAATGTGAGGATTACACAGATAATCATTTCGAAAAGTTATTAAATTACGTAGAAAGTTGTGATGATTCCTTGAGAATGATTGCTAGGTAATTTCATCATCATTCGAAAGTATCCAGACCCAAAATTGTGCTTTGAACAGAATCCAGCTCCTGCATAATTAATAATTAAAACATAGAGTGCATGTTATTGTTAACATAGTGCATGGGTATATAATCCAATCCCCCTACGTAACATGCTAATACGGGGGGGGAGGGAGGGAGAGAGAGAGTTAAATAAAAACCTGAGTGTTCGTCTATTAGCAGTTGGACTACCCTTCCCTGATCAAGAACAGAAAGATGATCACCACCCCACTGAGGATAGTAGTTTTGATCAAATAGGAATTCATCAGCATATCCACAAGCAACAAAGAGAATTAGAAACAGGCTAATTGCATAGTAATCCATCGGGATTTGAATCTTCTTAATTTGCTAACATAAATTGTTTTTTGCAGAAATTAACTCATTGACCTGTATTTAAATAGAGTACTGGCGAAAGTATTAAATTATTTGGCTAATTGTCAATTCGATAGTGTGTTAAAAAATAGTAAGAAGTAGGCTCTAAGGGATGAAATACCAACTACTTAACTTCATATTTTTGTTGTTATAATTAATGAAGTTTGTGTAATGCTGTAAACCTGTGCAGCACTTTTTGGAAACTTATTTGGCGGATTGCGGTGGTGGTGGTGGTGGTGGGAGAAATTGTCATTATTCTGAGCAAAAACTCTTTTGCTGGTGGGGGATGGTGGTGGTTTGTGTGATGGGGGTGGCAACTGTAAACAGAAACAATCTTTAATGAGGCAAGCTGTAAACCTGTTCCAAGCAGCTCAAAGTGCAAAGTGCTTCGAAAATCCTCTGATTTTCTTTCCTCCTCAAATTGAATACGTTGGTGTCCTCTTCGAAACTCTTCTTTTTTTCTTTAAATGACTAATCTCCATGTGGTCTATATATATATTTTTTTTATTTAATAATAATAAAAAAGTAATGTTTGTCTCATTGGGATTACAACCACAATCTAAATGGCGCTAAATGAAAAGTGGAATTTGAAATTATGATATTCGACCCAAATTTCACTTAGAAGGGAGAGAATAAGTGATTATATGGAATTACAAAATAATCAATTAATAAGCAACAAGTCACTTTTAATTGATTCTAGATGATTAAGCATACAAGTCCAATTATCCTATGTTGAAATGCCGAAGTAATAAGGAAAGCAATAAATAACACAATATTCATGACGGAGAAACTCAATTGGGTAAATTCTGGGACCAAGCCGTTACATCCACTATAGACGATATGAAGTGAGTTATAGTCAGATACTATCTAGCCAACTCCACTAAACTTCCCGATATATATCCTGCTAACTCTAAGGTCTGCTCTAAGACTTGCTCCAAGATCTTTTGTAATTGTCTCTTTCAAGTGGAATTCTAATAACCAACTCCAAGGCCTTGTACTCTTTCTGTGCCTGTAGTCTAACATGTCTCAACCTCCAGCAACCTCTAAAGTTCAACTGAGAAAGTGTCTTCCCAAAAGTGTCCAAAAAGTTTCTAATAACTAATTTTACTTTTTTGAGAAAGTTTGTAACTTAAAATACAAGTTCAATATTTCAATTGGATTAATGGATGAAAGAGGCATAAACCAGAATTTGGTTTGTGCGAAGTCAGCTGCGCTCTAACGGCCAATTTATTTGAATTTTAGGTCTGGTTTTTTGGTGCCTTTTCATGTATAGTCACTAGTGTAGGGATTGATGTCATGATATGGTGTCGTTTTTAAGCTATTTATATGAGTTGGAGGATGAGTGTAACATACAAGAATCATTAAATTAATCCCTCTTCCTCCATTAAACCTTCAAAATTCCAAATTTCATATTCAAAGTTTTCTTGTTCCTTTGAGAACTTCACTTCATTGATTTGTGCAAATCTTTAAAGGTTAGTCATATCCCACAAAACTACTTGTCAAAGATCCTTAAACCAATCCAAGAGGTGGCAAATATAGTTTTAGGAAAAGTTTCTAGCCTCTACTTCCGGTATTTTACTTCGCATTTTATTTATTTTTTATTTTCTTCCTTCTTTGGGTTGTACAAGATACTCCAACATATGTCACTTACATCCAGTAGAAAGTAGATGTTCCCATTCTCCTTCAGTCTGTTGAAATATCATATTGGCTTCTGGCAAACCCTGTCGCTGGTTACATATGCATCAAATTTGAGATACCATTTTCTAGCTAGGCACTTGCTTTCGATCACATAAAACCTTCTTTGTACAATTTGTTGTTCTCCCCATCTTTCAAATTCTTCGATTGCCTTGCACAGATAATTCATTTAACTCCACATGAAGAAAGGCAATCGGATTGTGCCCTCGGTACCCTATATGCCATTCATATTATGCACATTTTGAAATTATGATTTATCATGTTTACTTTGCTCATTTTTGGTTACTTTTCTTATATATATTTCAATTGCTTCTCATTTTCAATCTCTATTTAGCATTTAGTAAACTTACCTGATAGAAACCATTAGTATTTTCAGGAGTTTCTAAAGAAGTTTTGTCATCCAAATATATTCCAAGTGAAATGCCCTACCTCAAAGTTTCCACATATCAGATAACTCAACAAATATGAAGTGTAAGCGATAGAATCAATTAAATGTAGAAATATGGAACCCATTTTAACTATGCCTATCATTTAGTGTTACTTGATTCCACCTAGATTATTTTTTTAGTACCATTTGTGCGAAATTGAATTACTCTTTTTTATCCATGTGGATGATTCTTCTTTTGTTTTATTCTTGAAGTGAATATTTCCATATAGTTTTATTACTAGTTCTCACTTTCATATCAGCCTCAAAAAATATATGGTCCTAAGTAAAACTAATTGACCTTAAGGATTGTCGTATGCTTGTTTAAGGACTAGAAAGTTCTTAATTAGTACCGTCTATTTCTCTACAATATATAAAAGAGCAAAGTTTATTACTGTTTATAAGACGTCATCATGCCACAATAATGACGTCATATATGTGTGTTTTTCATTTTTGTTTTAACTGTAATTTTTTGCCCCATTTTCTTCCTCGCCTCTACAGTTGTTCTTTTCTCAATTTTCACACAATCACCATTCTGCCTATTTACTCAGCTTCCAACACAACCATCCATATTGTGCAGCCCCTATTGTACCACAGATACAGGGCTTTTGGTCTCATTTCCTATCTACATTCCTTCATGTTGCCCATGAAAATCTCTTCGTTTCTTCCGCTAGGTTTTCTTTCCAATCCCTAATTACATTGATGGATCTCACAAAGAAACGTAACTGACGTCGCATATTATGTATCAATAATAATGTCATTGCTTTCAGATCTCATTAATTTTAATCTCTTCGACTCTACATATAAGATTATTGCTGAGTACATATAGTGAGTTTTTCTTCATTGGTTTGATAGGGTTGCTCTATTTCTTGATAGTATAGAATTCTCTGTTTATGTTTATGTCTTTATCAGCTCAAGTTCTTCTCACGCATTTTGTGTTTTACTTGGCTCTTCGAAATTCTATGGGATCCTTTACGAGATAGCTCCTAATTTGTTGAAAATTATTTTTCATCAAACTTCTATAGTAAGTTTTATGGATCATCTTTGCTCTTTCTTTGTATTTATGTTCTTCAATTTTGGTAATTTATCAAAGAAATCTTTCCCTATCTAAAAAAATAAAATAAAAAATTTATCCATTCTAAACGGAGACACAGTGCGTGGCTGTATCGTGTCCGGACACCGTGTGTCTGTGTCCTTGTCATGTGTCAGGACACCGCGCGGACACGACACAGACATGATGCCCGTGTTTGCGCACCGTATCTCCATTCAGAACGGAGATTTTTTTTTCTCTGCCAAGTGATACATATTCTTTTATCAATTGCTAAATTAATTTAAATCTAGCATTTAATATCTACTCATATGGCATCCGCATGGTATATGTCTCCTTGCACAACGGAGGTACGATTCGTTTCTCTATGGTACACGGATACTACCAAATTCTGCTTGCTTTCCTCTCTATTTTTTGGTCTATTTATAATGGTTCTCTAACTAATTCTCCTGCTGCATCTGTTACTTGCATGTGTTGCAAATTGCCCGCCCTTGTTATTTTATTACGTCTTGCATAAGTGAATTGAATTGGTGTGTTTGTCATATAACTATTTCAACAAGCCTATAACCGGAGTTGTTTTTTAGCCCTTTGAAGAGGTGAAGAAGGAGCCTAAGATTGTAACAACTATTCTACTAGATTCACTTACTTGCCAGAAGTACGCCGATGAGTGTGAAGCCGCTAATAATGAACAAATCAAGTGGGTTTTCTTTGATTTAATCTTCCGTTCAATGTATTTTCCATTTTGGGATTCTTTTTTTTAAAATTTTCTCATGGCTTATCGTTTGTTTTAGATGGATTCGAATTTTATGCTAAATTTGTAAATTCTAATGACTTTTTTTGAATATATATTTTGAATTACAGTGTGGAGTACAACGTTTACTATGTATACCATGCCATGTTTGCCTATTTTGATAGGGACAACGTTGCTCTTAAAGTCTTGCCAATTAAATATCAAAACTTTAAACATTTGAAACATTTTGGTGTTGGATAATTGCCTCAAAAGTCAAAAATTGGAAGACTCCTATTGCAAATAATAAAAGGTGTTTATTATAAATGGGTGAAATGAAAATAAATTTCAAGGAAAGTAATTGTTTAGAAATTATTTTGTAGGAAATTGTGAATTCTATTACTTAGATTTTTACATGGGTCTTTCTAGAATATAATTCTAGAAAATGCTAGACTTTGTTGGGCCTTTGAATTGGGCCTATGAGCAAAATTCTTAAACTCATATTACTTACTCCAAAATCAAGTTTACTTTCCAACAAGTTTTTCTTCATTGGTTTTATGGGGTTGCTCTATTTCTTGGTAGTATAGAATTCTCTGTTTATGTTTATGTCTTCATCAGTTCAAGTTCTTTTCATGCATTTTGTGTTTTACTTGGCTCTTCGAAATTCTATGGGATCCTTTACGAGATATCTCCTAATTTGTTGAAAGTTTTATGGATCATCTTTGCTCTTTCTTTGTATTTATGTTCTTTAATTTTGGTAATTTATCAAAGAAATCTTTCCCTATCTAAAAAAAATAATAAAAAAAAATTATCCGTTCTAAACGGAGACACAGTGCATGGCCGTATCGTGTCCGGACACCGTGTGTTTATGTCCTCGTCATGTGTCAGGACACCGCGCGGACACGACGCAGACACGATGCCCGTGTTTGCTCACCGTATCTCCATTCAGAATGGAGATTTTTTTCTCTGCCAAGTGATACATATTCTTTTATCAATTGCTAAATTAATTTAAATCTAGCATTTAATATCTACTCATACGGCATCCGCATGGTATATGTCTCCTTGCACAACGGACATACAATTCGTTTCTCTATGGTACACGGATACTACCAAATTCCGCCTGCTTTCCTCTCTATTTTTTGGTCTATTTATAATGGCTCTCTAACTAATTCTCCTGCTGCATCTGTTACTTGCATGTGCTGCAAATTGCCCGCCCTCGTTATTTTATTACGTCTTGCATAAGTGAATTGAATTGGTGTGTTTGTCATATAACTATTTCAACAAGCCTATAATCGGAGTCGTTTTTTAGCCCTTTGAAGAGGTGAAGAAGGAGCCTAAGATTGTAACAACTATTCTACAAGATTCACTTGCTCACCAGAAGTACGCCGATGAGTGTGAAGCCGCTAATAATGAACAAATCAAGTGGGTTTTCTTTGATTTAATCTTCTGTTCAATGTATTTTCCATTTTGGGAATCTGTAGATTTTTTTTTTTTTTTTAATTTTTTCATGGCTCATCTTTCGTTTTAGATGGATTCGAATTTTATGCTAAATTTGTAAATTCTAATGACTTTTTTCGAATATATATTTTGAATTACAGTGTGGAGTACAACGTTTCCTATGTATACCATGCCATGTTTGCCTATTTTGATAGGGACAAAGTTGCTCTTAAAGTCTTGCCAATTAAATATCAAAACTTTAAACATTTGAACCATTTTAGTTTTTCAATTATTGTTGAATATTATGTAAATCCACATTCATGGTTTGTTCTTTCATAGGTTTTTCAGGGAGTTAAGCAAAGAAGAAAGAGACCCTGATGGAAAATTAAAGGAATATTAGGTGCTTAATCATTTGCTTAGTTTATTTTTCTTTTATTTTGTACAATTTTGTTATAATTATGAATATTGTTTGATGAAAATTGGAACAAGCATGGAAAAGTGAAGATGCAGTCAATTTTGATGCTATTTTCAGAGTTTAACCATACTGAAAAGGGGGATGCTGATTGTTGTTGTATTTAATATTAAATTACTACAGGCATTTGAAAGTTTTTTAATTACTTGGTGTATGGAAATATGTTAATGGAAGATAATTGATGACTTTTCTTTCACTATGGAGTTCTATACATTCCTCGAAACAAGTATTGTTTCTTTATCATTGTTGCAACATTTTATTGTATTCTTTACTGATGATGATGTACCTGGGACTCCAGGAACACTGATAACCACTTTTCTAGCCTCTGGTAAGGTCAAATATTTCATTCCCAAATAATTATTTTGCTCCCGCCGCAGCTCCTGACCTTTTATTATTTTATTCATGAATTCTTTTGATTTTGAGATATTAAACTCAGCATTTTCTTTGACCGTTACAGGATTTCTGATTATGCACATATCTTTAGTGGCAGTAAATACCACATCCATCGAGGTAACTTGCTAATTCATCATTCTATGGTTTAACTTCGATGAGAAATACCACAACGATTGAGGTATTATGCTTATATTATTAGTAGGGTATGCTTTATTATTTAATTGAACTTGATGGCTATCCATCGGGTTATCTACTTTATTCATTTTTAGTTAAAGATGGAATAAATAATGCAATAGTCAAAATTATATATATTAGAATTATGAATATCCATTATCTGGCTTTATTCCTTTTGTCTATAGGCAAATCCAAGCCTCTATTCAATTGACGATGTCGTTTTCATTTCTTTGTCTCTCAAAAATTCAAAAGAAACTTTATTTTCCCGCTTCGTGAATGTGGATTTGGTTGCTGAGAGAAGCAATTTCAGTTCTTGTATATCAAAAGACATTTATTGTTGATTTTGTATGCTCCTTGGTCTATTTGTTTTATGGTATGTTCACATTTTCACAAACCGGAAGTTTTTCATTTTAAATGAATCAAGAACTTTAGAATGATGTTTTTCATGGCATTGATGGGAACCTCCATCAATTACTTCATTGATCCGTTATCTGATTTTGGATTCTTTTTTGAGCACGAAAACTAGCATAGCATCATACCTTATGGTCGAGTATTTCCTTTTAATTCAATAGAAATCAATATAATATTGTTGTCGTCACTCATCCGTGAATGTTCGTGGAATAGACAAATGAGTACAACAGCGATTTCATTGTTTCAAAGAGTGGAAAGAAAACTCTGAATGTTGTCTATACATGGAAGCTTCAAAATAACCAGCTTGTTGCCTTTAAGCACTTCTCAAAGCAGTCATCGCCCGACTGCCAACAATTTGTCGCAAGTTCCACCCTCGTAATTTAGCTATTATTTTGTGAATTCTAGCATACTGTAATATGCATTTATAATATCTCAAAAGAACCGTTATATTTCTCTCTTCTTTATGTTGTTTAAACCCCCAAGTCATAGACAGCGTGGCTACTATATTGAGGCTTTAAACTTCACAGTGTCCAACACTTTTCTACAATGAAATTTTCTTTGTAATATTTTTAAATTTGATTTCTCGGTAAGAGATATGTACGGATGATGAGAATCTTTGTTCTTCTTAGATTTATTGGGTTTATGTGTAATTTAATTGTTCTCTCAATGAAGTTGCTTCAAGTCTTGAGAAATGGGCGAATATGTAATCTAATGTAAAATGAAAGAGTGCATACTTTATGACATTCATTTGTCACTTCATTAAGTTGAATGTTATTGTGCAATCTATCATTTAATAGTGAGCAACTTCTTCGTTTATGACATATTTGAACGTTCAAAAAATATAAATCACAGACCAATGTTTTGATGTTCTAACACAATATAAACATGCATTAATCAGTCTACATAATTAAATATTTAGAGGATGTAAAATATTTTGTCCTTTTAACAAAAAATCATTTCTAAAATTATAACGGTAATCTTGCAACGCACGATCTCCACTAATATACTATAAAATACTATTCATTATCCTATATTAGTTTACTATGTAAATTATTATTTCTTTCAATGAGTCGTTATAATATTGCAACTAATAAAGTATTTATAACAAGAAGATTTTCGGAAGTTAATAATTATTTAGTGGTGGAATACTGAAATAATAGGTAAAGAAACCATTTTTACATAATGAATATACGTTGTAGAAATAGTAAAGAAACCATTTTTACATCTCATGTGTTCTCGTCATGCTTGGCCTCATCATTCATCTCATCATAAATTTCATAGGCTCCTCGTTGCTATCCCCACCCTCCTCCTCAGTGTACGCCCGTATATGTCCATACCTGGTTTTTGAAACGTCAAAACCCTTGTCAATCTCTCCATGTTTATAACCAAATCCATCTCCTCTATAGTGAAAGTCATGTTCAGTTGGAAGAAAGCTGGCTGTCCCTTTCCTAAGTGTAGAGGTTCTCGCCCTACCTGAATTTGATGGTGGATCGACATGATTCACTGTACAATTATAAAAACCCATGTTGCTCATATCCTCTTGAATATGCTCTTCTACTGGGATATCAGTTAAGCACTCTGGGAAATTCTTCGGGTTATTGGAACAGTAGTCATAAACCATGAACTTGCCTCTAACATCTTGATAGCATCTTTGTTGGTGAGGATTGAGTTTCCAATATTTAGCTGCATTCCAATAATAGGTCGTGGAATAGCATGCCTCCGGATCAGAGTCGTTATACATGCACCCGTCAATTGAAAATCCTTGATAATGAGCAACGAAGGGCCCTTGACTCCAATCTACTCGTCCTTGCCATGCAGTGCTATTCCATATGCTTGCTTCTATGTGCATGGATTTTGAAGGATAACTCACTCCTATTTTTGTGTTGTTTCTGAACACTCTTATTGGTATCCCGTCTATAAAAAACCTATATACCCAAAATCAACACAAATATACGAGTTATATGTTATGAATTAAAAGTCTAATCATGTAGTGTTAAGAATAATATAGTACAAAATAAAAATTAAAGCAAATAAAGTACACATAGAATCATTAGAATGAAGAAGATGACGAGTAGGACGGTTACAATACATATATTGTACAAGAGCGATGCTACATGTACACGGAAAATTACAAACTGATTTATAGGTTTATAGGTAGTGCAATTTAATTGCATTTTGGGCGAAACACAAAGTCAAACCAACCAATCGCTTTCTGTGAGCACCTGTACATCATTCTGCAAATTCCCCCCGTACAAGTAGCATCTTTGATTGTATAAACCCTCATCTCTTTTTACCCCCTATGATTAGACAAGAGGCTTGCTCTTATATCATTTTTATAAGGAGGAAATGTGAGGTTGAGTTGAGGAGAAAACTGAATAATATGAAGAAAATAATATGATACTTCAAAGTTGCAAAATTTAAATTTATAGATGATTTATGTTAACAAAGTCATCAAGGAATTAGCAATGCATATATGCATATACAAATTTGAAGTTGATATGTAAATAATCACATCACGCATTTACAATTTAAAAATTTAAATGGCGAGAAGGCTCAACAAAATATTAGAGCAAACAAAGGTAATATAACGTGTGCATACACTATCTGGTGCTGGTTCCAAACAAGTTCATATGTGTGAAAATCTGCACTAGGATCAAACCAAAGGCAAAATTGTTGCTCCCTATGTCCCTGGTCATTTGCATACACATTGGTATTCAATCTGTAAGCCATGGGACCATTGCCTCCCAAGAACTCGAAATCAAGCTCATCATGGTTTGTTGCATCTTCACCAATTGGGATTGAAGTTAACTACAAAATTTTAACAAATTAATCAACCAAAGTGAAAGCTATTAGTTTGACCCTAAAATGACATAGAGGGGGTGAATACGTGAATAATGCGGAATTAAAATTAGTCATCAAGTCAAGTTTTTCCTATGTTGAATTGCCACAATAATAATTAAAATAGTAAATAACACAAGATTTGTTAACAGAGAAAACCCTTAACGGGGTAAAAACTCCGGGACCAAACCAGTAACTTCCACTATAGAGAATAACAACTTACACAGTATGATCTAACCTAGAAAATCCACTAAATTCGTATATCTAATTTCTGCAATCTCCAAAACATGTTGGAACTTGCATTACTCACACATGCTCCCGAGATCTTGTGAATTTGTTTCTCTCATATGGATCTCTAAGAACACCTATATCTAGGAAGTCAGTACTTTGAATTATTTGAATTCAATATTTTTCCCAACTTGTTGTTGATTGATCTCAATGTTTGGATGTGTTCGTGGATCTTCGATTGATGTTATGAGGATATAAAATACCAACAAAAATGTAATGGGCATTAGGTATTTTTAATAGGAGGTATTTGGGTAGTATATAACGGACAAAACTCTTGAAAATCGTGAACTAGGGTTTCATGTATAACACCGTCGCTCAAGCGTCAGGTTAGCGACACACAAGCGAGAAGTGTGTCGCTTAAGCGAGAGTCGGGCAACAAGCGAGCGACAATAATTCTGTTTTTTTCCGCTCGAGCATCAACTGGGTGACATGTTAGCATAAATTCGGCGACTCTTTTTTCTTATTCCATACTCGAACCCAAAGCTTCCTAGTTCATCTACACAACCCCCAAAAGACTCCTTAACTTTTATAACAATAATTTTATTTTATACTAATTATTTTGCTTAAAGAATTGTCAATACAACATAAGTGCTAACACAAAGAACCAAACCAATGAGAAGAATAATCATCCCAAAAAAAGTGGGTAATTACATAAAAAGTTGTGATGACTCCTTTTGAATTATTGCTTGGTAATTTCATCACCATTCGAAAATATCCAGAACCGAAATCCTGTTTTGAATTGAATCCAGCTCCTGCAAAGTTAATAATTAATTAAAACAAAGAATAATCCTAAATTTAGTCCAAAAATTCAATTCATGATCTATTCATAATAGAGTCAAGATGCATTTTCCGAGTTTCCCTTGCATGAAAGCATAAAATTGAATTGCATATAAATATTGCCTGGTATATAATTCAATCCTCCCTACCAAATATGCTAATATAATCCGAGAGAGAGAGAGAGAGAGAGAGAGAGAGAGAGAGAGAGGTGGTTAATTAAATACCTGAGTGTTCGTCTATTAGCAGTTCGACTTCCTTACCCTGATCAAGAACGATGACATGATCACCACCCCACACAGGAGAGTAGTTTCGATCGAATGGGATTTCATCAGCATATCCACAAGCAACAAAGAGAATAAGAAACAGGCCAATTGCATAGTAATCCATCGGAATTAAAAGAATCAAATTAATGCACTGTTTTTTCTAACATAAATTGCTTTTAGAGAATTTATAATTCATGGACCTGCATTTAAATAGAGTACAGGTTTTGGACTATATGTACTTAGTTGATACTGTTTAGGTTGAAAGTTGCTAATAATTTGTTGACCTAAAAATAATTAACTCGCTAATGTTTGCCAATATAGAATCGTTAATTTAATATTTTGTTGATTTATGCCTAATGGTAACAAGTAGGGAATGAAATACCAGGTGATTTGACTTTATGCTTTCGTAGTTATACTGAATTCAGGGGTGGAGCCAGGACCTAGAGAGCCTCTGCAACTGCCCGTCTTGGCTTCGCCGTATTTTTTTTTTGCTTATATTGGGCAGTTGCTCGTCTTGCTACTGCCGGTGCTCACTTGGATTCGTCAATACTCACTTGGATTCCTGGATCCGTCATTTATTGAATGTGATTGCTGCTCCTAAAAGTATGTACGTGTTCAGGGATGGAGTCAAAAAATTTACTTAGTCGCAGCCCTTTTTTTCAGAATATTTTTGTGTATTTGAGTAATGTCTTTTTTTTTTTTTTCATATCCTAATGGGGGCAGGTAACCCCACCCCCGCCCTCCCTAAATTCGCCATGTCTATGTTGAATAGTGAATACTATTGGAAAGCTTCACACTACAAATTCTAGTGCATGGTTTCCTACGTAAATTGTCAAATATTTATGACTTCATGCAAGATTTCACGTCAGCGCTAAATGTGAATATTGGAGCTACTATTCATAATTGATGGACCTGAAATATAGGATTTGCATAATTTTTGTGGGCTACATGGTCTTTCTCATAGCAGTAAAGTAAAAATGGAATGGTGCATTGAATCCTAATGTTTACCTCACTTGTGATTTGTGAAAGAAGAAAACAAGCCGTTTTAGCCAAAAATGTTGACAAAGGAATTCACCACAGGTCAAAATAAGTTTGTTTTGTGTATAAATTAAACTCTAAATAGATGGGTTTGGACAGGGACAGTGACAATATATAGAAGTCAAGCAAATGTTCAATAGAGAAACGAGAGAAAAAAATAGAGAGAATGCCTCTGCGTAGGCTCCTAAATGCAGAGAGTATATTCTCGTATCCCTTTTTCTTTCGTTGATATAGTGAAATATCTTGGTGCGGCTCTATAACATAGTTACAATTGTCGAACTACGTAAAATCCGTGTCTTGTACTTGCATTTATTTTATTATATCTTTTATTTCTCCTCAATTTAAATTATTTTGAATCCCGAATTAATGTCTATTTCATAACTGGTATAGTCGATAAGACAAGATACACTTTCACTTCCAGATGTATCATAAAGAGAAACACACAACTATCTTTAGTTAGTTTCAAGTGACAAATTTCACATCGAATAAAGATAAACTCGAGTATTTTCATCCTTGGAACACTTGAAGAGTTATAGATGCTCAATATTATTACAAGAAAATTATAATCAACTTCCCTAATCTATATGAAATACAGTAAGGAGGCTCCAACCTTCAATTTACATAGTAAGCGGATCCCCAACCTTTCAGTTTTGTACATCACAACGAAGTACCGTTAGAAAATCTCTATCTATTTTGATGATAAAATTGTTGAGAAAAAAGCTAATTCCAAGAAATGAAATTATTATAGAGAAAAAATAATCTTCTTCTCATTGTCTTTATTTAATTAAAAGCCAAAACAAAAAATAATGATTTTTTTCAGAAATTATCTCATCATTTATATTTTATGTTTCTTCAATTTGTTTTCTTTCCTGTTTTGATTTTTTTTTCTATTATTATTTTTTTACAAATAATTAAGGTTGTAATGATATTTAATATTTGAAAAAAAAATTTATTGGAGACCTCATTTATGAAGAGTATCTCCAAGAGATTCTAACTTATTTAAAGAGAGAATGTTTAAAAATAAGCTCAACGTTTGATAATATACTTCTTAAATTATTTAAATCATATTTGAACTGATTGTTTATTGACATATAAAATATATATATATTAAATAAAAATAAAAAGAAATTAATAAATATTTACTGAAAAAACCAAAATGAAGAATTAAAATATAGAACATCATTGAAAAAATCAAAATGAAGAATTAAAATAATTCTATCTAGTGCAAATGGTGCTAAATCATTAGTTTAGGTGATCGCACTTGATATGTTTGATTAAATGAATTATGTAAATTGTATTTAAGTGAATCTATCGTCATGCAGTTGTCATCTAGATTGATACTTGACACTAGTGATACTGAATAGCATTACTCTAAAATTATGCTTCAATAAATCCTTGAAATTAGGATTTTAAAATAGAGAACGAGTTTAGAGATAAAAAGTCTCTTAGAGAAGCTCCAAGAGGAAAATAAAGTGGCCATTGCATATGCATCTTTTTTGTTACTATATTTTAATTTATATCTTTGGACTGCTTGCTTTATTTTGCTTGCAGTTTGCACCGTTATTGATCAATAAAATTATTCTTGCATACGAAAATGAAAGACGAGTTACAAGACTGGAGTTTTAGAATTTATTTTCTTATTCTAAAATTATTAAAAAATCTAACACCTATAAAACCATATATTTTATACCCCCAGCCCATTTAGTTTTATTTAGTAGAAAAAAAATTATGTAAACAAAAAATTCTTGTATAATTTTATTTTATTTTTTACGTATTAGCTCAACCTGTAATCCGGTTCTGAATCCGTCTCTACTCTTCACAAAAGTTAAGTTATAATTGTCATAATAAGGACATTGGAGCTGGTGTCCAAAAGTCCCGAACCAAATCGAGCGGTTCTTCATAAATTAAATACCCGAACGGGTACTCGAATCGAGTACCGATGAGTTTGGATCGAGTCGCAAGTCTAGACCAAGAATCGAAGAACCGAAATTAAATAATTTTTTTATTTTTTATATTGAATTAATAAAAATATTTTATTTTTTTCTATACAAATTAGCAAATTAATTAAATAAATCAGATTATTTCATAATTTTAATTTTAAAACCCAAATCATTTTTAAAATCCATTAGCCCATTTTAATTTGAAGCAAATGAATATACTTTATGTAATTTTGCTGTAATATTAATATCTACTTTTTGGTATTTGTATGCATTTAATTAATCTTATTGAACGGCTAGTTATTTATGTGTTTTTGAATTGGACTACGTTAGTTTGTAAAAATTACGAATGAAATGTCATTAATTGTATTTATGTAGTGTTGTTGTAAATATTAAAAAAATTGATTATGGTACGGAATCGAACCGACCCGAACCCGAACGATTCCATAATTATATTTGGACCCGACGGGTCCATTTATTAAATACCCAAAAATTTTACTGACCCACGGACAGCTCTACTTTTTTACATTCTCCAGTGCAAAGATAAAGGTGCTCTTACTAGCCTGATTTATTCTATTCTTGTCTGAAAACTTCTTTATGGGTCTTAAGAATACTGTCATGAAGATGATAAATCAAATAGATAATTACTGGATTGAAGACTTCCAATACCGTAGAGGGCTTGAATTTTGTTATTTACAAGAGTGAGATACGAGATTCATGAGCCTAATTGATTTTATTTTTTTCTTTTCCCAATAGAAGAATAAAATTATGAACATCATCCAAACTATTTTTCAGCAAAAGATTAGGGAGTTGAATAATTGTAGTTGCATCCCAAATTTTTATCTTTTTACAAACTTTATCCAAATCTTTCATTTGTGTCACTCATAATTTCAAACAATTTATTTCGTTTGCAATAGGACAAATGGCAGATTTCATCCACTTGACTATTAGTTGACAAGAAAAATTGACTTGAACCATGATTCGACCAAATTTAAAAAGGTAAAATGGTAAGTTTGCCACACAATTCCCATACAAAAACCCATAGCACTTACCACAAATCGCCATAGCTTTAAAGAGAAAAACTACTTTCCCCGCCAATGCTACCAGTCCAGTCTTGCTCCGATCGCCCTTGCTGTACAGAGAGTGTCTTTACAAGACCTTTACAGGGCCTAGGTGGCAAACATAAAAAAAATAAAGAAAAATAAAAAAGAAAACTACACAATGAAATCCACGAACGCATTCATTTTTCCGAACCTCCAAGCCTCTCCATTACCATCTCCTATTTCATCCCTTCACAACGGCCAGACTCATCTCCACCCCTGGCCGGCAACGAGTCAATGAAGAATAAACCTCGCAACCCTTACCCAGATTAGTGAAGAACAAACCACAAATTCTTAGGCCTTGAAGAGAGGTAATTTGTGTAAGGGTCATAAGGTTTCAAAGATGAATCAGCAACGCCACCATCATCATTTGATACAACGGCACAATTTTTAGATGGAATAAACCAAGACGAGGATCGACGAGGGCGACCAATACTCGAATTTAAGGGGCTTTTTTTCATTTCTAGAGAGTTTTTTGAATTTGGGTATCCGGAAAACTTGAATTTTCATTCCTCTGCCAAATTTTCTTTTTTGGAACTGCGATCTATGAAGATGCCAATATAGTGGGTGACATGAAATGTTTTGCTACTGGTTTCTTGGGGTTATGCAACTTGGAATTCATTTGGTCTTGACTTGTGTCATTCTCATTATTTTTTCTTGAACCTAATCAAATATTTATTCTTGGTTCGAAAAAATCGACAGCAAAGAAAAATTAAAGGAAACTTGAATCAGGTTGATTTTTCGTTATTGTTTGTTTTGCTTCATGGGTTTGTGTGCATGTATAAACAGAACTTTGCTATGTTAATTAGTTGAAATGTCGTGCATTCAAACCAAAACTGGCGTTTGATGGGTTGATGGAATTGAAGGTCGTTTGTCTTTCTACTTGGACAAAACCGAGGGCGGGGAAGATGACCGGGAGACGATGTGGCTCACAGAAAACACCAGAGGTGGAAGCTATGTGGCCGAGCAATCGCAATTTTCGTCAAAGGATGGAAGACTTCAGAGCTGACAGAAGAAATTAGTCAGGCCGATTTTGAGAGTTCCCCAAT